ACATTTGTATGCAGCCCTGTAGAGTATGGTTCTCTGGGCAATTCATAATTATTAGAACAGTTTAAATCTAAAATAAAACTGTAACACCAAAAGGAGATTGTAAATGACATCAGGTCAAAGGTAACTGCATGGGATATGGTCAGTGGTTTTGAAGCAGCGATTCCGTGTCTTTGGTTTCAAGACTCTTGAGATAAACCTCTTTCTGAATTGTAATTTATGGGTTCAGTTGACTTGCCTCAGTACTGGAATGTAATCAAACAAAAGGCCATATAATTATCACTAAGCGTCTAATTTACTATCTTGTGTGTACTTGTGAAGGAAAGAAAGAAAGAATCAAGATGCTAAGGGATGTTATAGCAGATTCTAATTTCTCTTTTGCAACTGATCTTCTTATGGTATTAATAGCTGTTGCAATTTATTCTGTCAATAGATTGTTCAGATTAGTTGTGCACTGCCAATGGCACCTAAAGATCTGAAAATAATAAGAACTACCTGCCAGACTGTGAACATATTAAAACCCAAGATCCAGTTAAGGATGCTGTTTTGCTAATAGCTCTGATGTGCTTTCTAGAGGGGTCTTCTGTTCATCAGGTTTGGCAGCAAAGGGGTTGGCAGAGTATTTGGGTGAGCAAAGGCAGCTAAGAATTACAGTTGCCGCTACTTAGTCATTTTTGTATTTTAGAAAGGGGTGATAATGATGTTACTAATAAGTGCTTCTTTCCTAGTCAGGCCGCAGGGACAGGAATAGCTGCACACGGCAGCTTAGATGTTAGTCCCCATGCAGTGGTACCTGCATCATCCACCTGACCGCATTAGGGTTTCAGAAATCAGTGCCAGGTGTGATTTAGGGGCTTAGGAGTGCTCCTTGTGTGCTTCCCCCCCAGGAAAGCCTCATGAAATGGATGCACAAAAACTGGTCTGCAGATGGAAATGGCTGCCATTTCGGTGTGAATGGGCTGGTGAACGTGTGCTTGTGCATGGTGGAAGCCAGTTGCAACATGCTTGGCCGCATGCCACGTGCAAATAGTTCTTTGTTGCTGCAGAGAATTGTTGGGGGATAATATTACGCTGCTGAGCCTACTTGATCTCCTCCTCTGTGACAGACACAGAGTCGTTTGGTTCAGGGAGCTCAGTTAGCTGTTTACAAAACAGAAATGTTGCTGATAGACTTCCAGCACAGGGAACAAAGTTAGGAAAAGTAGATGGTAGAGATTTCAGGTTATAAGGGATTTGGCCCAGGTTTTGTGCACATGGAACTTAACCTTTTTAAAAACTGGACAGCAGTTGGTACAAAGTGAATAATGGCATTTCTTCTCACCACCCCTGCCCCCCCCCCCACACCTCAGACTCCTTAACAATATGCTATAAAACAAAATGGGGATTGCAGGCCCTGCTCATAATTGTTGTGCAAATATAATACTCCCTCCAAGCTGCTAAATAGGCCAGTGCTCTGTTTACATGAAGAGGCAGCCAGCTTTCCAAGTGTAATGAGTCAGCTACATGAACAGAAGGGGTGCAGAATTAATCTGGCATCCGTCTGGCTTTTTCTCAGTGAATCAGGTTTGCAAAACTCGCTGTAAAATAGGTATTGACCCTGGTTGCAAATGGCCACATTGCCATCCAGAGCAAACATATTTTTTCAAGAATAATTGAACCAAATGCAGGGACACATGCAGAGCATGGATTCATTTGAACTGGGATCCTCATTTGGATGTAGCTGTCGATGACTGAGCTGCTGAGAGGATTGAATGTCCTGGCTCCCCTTTCCCTCATGCTGCTTTTTATGTTACCTTCACCGTGTGGCCAAAGGAGCTTAGTGTGTGTACTAATATCCTGTATAGACTGTGTCTGAATTGGCAGCAGCGGAGGGCAAATTATTTTGGGTATTAATGTGCCTGGCTGCTTTATCATTTTGTGACTGTTAACGTGTGAAGGTAGAAAGTCTTTCAAGTCCTTTCCCATATTTATCACTGCTCCAGTCCCAATCCCCCCCCCCCCATTTGGTGATTTACCATGAAGCCTAGTTTGCAGCTGATTAAGGTGTGGAATTTCGCTTCTTGTCCTAGGGAGCAAGGTTGGAGTGTCCTCCTCTGAGCTGATGTTAGGATTAGAAGATACTTGAGCAAGAGTTTGGCTCTGAAGATGGGCAACCAGGTTGTTTGGAGAAAGGAAGAGACAGGAATGTGTGTGTATTTGTGCATATTTAAAAAAAATTCAGGTAAAAAAAGATATTGAAAGCCTTATATCTTTGTTTTTTAACAGCTGCTGTCCTCACTCTACCTCTACAGTCCCCCAAGAAAACCAGACATCAACAAAAAACACCAAGAATACAAAAAAAGAATAGAACCTCAAACACATGTACAGAAAAAAAAGGGGGGGGCAAAACAAAAACAAACCAACCAATGAAAACAAAAATTAGCCATGCAGTAATGATCGGAGATACAGTGACCTTTTCTTAAAACTGTTCCTAATAATATATGTAAAGTTCCTGTTCCACATCATTGGTATTGGTTGAGGGAGGTTGAACCCACGTGGGCGTGAGAGTTGGTGGCGGTGGTCTGTTCTCGCAGTCCATGAGATCGGCGCTCCATTGCGTGGCTGAGGGAGGTGGCTTGCCGTTCCGTTCCCATGTTGTGAGTCCCCAGCGATCGTTCGTGCCCTGTAGCCCACTTGCGATGCCCAGAGGACAGCTCCCATGATGGGGAGAAGCGATCCAGCAATACGTTGACATCCTGAAATAGCACAATAAACAAGCAAACAAATCCATTATACACTCCAAGTAAACAAGTCGACATTTTTATCTCATTCAGTGACATCACATGAGGAGATGTGCATAGACAGTGGAGCAGCTGACATTTCAGATTACCGCGCACAGAATTAAACCTCCCTCTTCCATCTGGCTTGTGTGTGCATAGCCTTGAGAACAGGCGGCTCAGCTTTGGCCCCAGCAGGCCTTCCGCAGGCCTGCCTGCCTGCCTGGGTCTTCCTCCTCCTCGGCGCGAGCTGCTCACTTGCCATCCAGGCAGGGCCTTTCCCGGAAGGTCAGCCTCTCTTTCTGGAAGCGCCTTTTAGCTGGTCTGTCATCCAGATATAAGGGCTCCTATTTCCCAAAATGGCTTGTAAAACTGTTTTGGTCCTCCTTGTTTCCCAAAACTAGTTTTAATAGTTGCCATCACTTTTTACCTAAAATAACATTTTGATCTCTTTATTATAACTACTGCTACTACTGTTGGAGTTGCAGTTTTGTAGCACATGGGCCGTATGTGCTTTACAGAGTGCAAATGGCGGTTCAAAGTCCTCCTTAATGATCTGTTTGAATTCCTAATCTGTATTTTTCCATGCGTGAAGAAAGACACTGTCTGAATGTTTTCTGGAAACATCATGATGCTTTTTTGCTTGAGCTGGTGTTTGGTGGCTAGAGTGAGTTCTTTATTTAGAATATCTCTCCCACCTTTCTGCCTGACAACAGACTTTCAAGACGCCTATTAATTAGGCTGATATTAGGAAGAATGAAGATACTAGGATTTTCTCCAGTTAATACTTTTTGGGTTTCACTTCTCCCTAATAATGTTTTCAATTTGCTTTTTAAAATGGTGCCATTGGAAATAGGGAGTGCTAGAAATGCAATGGAAAGCAAGCACTTCGGGGGCTTCACTTGCCCTCTGATCACCCATGCTGCCAGCAAATAGCTTCCTGGTGCTTTAAAGGTGAATAGCAGGTGTTTGATAATACATGGTGCAGCCTTCTCCAAACTGGTACTGCAGGAATTGTGGCCCAGCATATCCGGATGCCAGTGGGTTGCAGAAGGCTGAGGTGGTGGAGCTCACGCACAAGCATCACGATAGCGCAGATCTTGCCCCGGGAGGCGAGTGTAAGACTGTTGCCCTCTTCTCTTGTGTTACACACAAGCTCTTCCTGTGCCTCCTTTTATTCTTAGGCAGGTATTGTCTGTAAAGATAGAATTCGGTTAAGTGCGGCCTGAGAGGGAACATGAACATAAACATAGCTCCCATGTAGCCTGAAGGGCCTGATCATGCCTCATTTTGGAAGCTAAGCAGGGTCAGGCCTGGTTGGAATCTGGATGGGGGACTTCAATATTGTGAACCACCCAGAGAACTTCGGCTATGGGTGGTATAGAAATATAATAATAATAATAATAATAATAATAATAATAATAATAATAAAGCATAGCTGAATGTGGATCATACAGGGTCCAGCAACCTTTAGGATGCATAGGAGACAAAAGACAGTGTTGAGCAAAAGCTCTGCGGGCCTATGGCCTCCTTGCACGCAGGAAGATTTTCTGCAGAAATCGCTACCTGCTATCAGGCTTTGGACCATAAAACTCTCAAATACTAGAGGAAGTGGGAGGAATCCCTTTGATCTTTCATTAAGTCACTCCTTTTCCCAATCCATCCCCAATTGGTCGTGAATTGGGAGTTTTCCTATTCCTGGACAATTTCCTCCTATTGTTCCTCCAAACACACATGTGCGCATGCAAGAGTGTGTGTGAGAGTGTTACTGGACACGGCATTTGTCTCACCAAGCGACTTTTTCCCTATGTGCAGGCTCTCATGCTCCTTTGTGGCAGACAGAACAAGATTTTTTGCTGTGGGAGCTCATTTCCTTGACTTGAGTTAAAAGGGTTAACATCAGTGGGGAAGAAGGTCTAAACATACTAGCTGCAGTAGCCACTGCTACTGCTTCATACTGCAGGTAGAGGTGGCCCTTTTATATATAAATCTTTAACGTTTACAAAAGTATGGAATTAATGAAGATGTTCACACAGAACATTCACAGGGGAATCGTAGCTATGTTATTACACTACATACAGAGTTTTACCACGTGGGCTTTGCTTTAGGGATACTAGCACAGTGCCTCAGGTTGATTCCGTCCGTCTGTCCGTCGGTCCGTCCTTCCTGTCTAACACTTTACCTTTATTCCCCCCCTTTTTTGTGAGATCCTAGTTAAACACCAGTGTGTTTCCTTTCATATTACAGACAGTTGATGATGAAGCGATGGCGGCATAAATGAAGGCCAAGTAAGGAAGGCAGAACGATGCCCAAGGGTGGGTGTTCTAAAACACCACAATTGGAAGATTTCTCTCTCAGCAACGACATGGTGGAGAAACAAACTGGGAAAAAGGTACTGTACTTTTCTCATTTGTCTTTGTTCAGTGATAACTTCCATTTTATGGGGAGATGGGTACTTCCCTCATACTTTTCTGTTCTGCTTCTGAGTAGGATTTTTCTTAATATTTACCCACATAGTAATAGTGCAAGAAATGGATAGGAATACTTTTTTCATCAGTTGTCTTCTCTGTCATTTTGATAATGTTTTAAGATTTTATTTGCCAAAAATGCCAGCTTTTCTTGATATGGAGCAGCGTACTGCCATGGGCTTTTGCTGCTGCCAAGGGCAGTGCTTGTTGAGCGCTGCTTGGTATTCTGTGAGGTTTTGATAAGCAGACAGAGGTGCGCCTTAGCTGATGAATTCCCCCACTAAGAGCTTCCATCATGGTTCATAGCGTGGCTGATAATGCAACACGTGAATCATGGAAGCTGCACGACGCTATAGTTCCTTTTCTGTCTCGCTTCCAGTCATGGAGAAAATCTCAATTAAACTGATGTTTGTGTGTTACTTAGCTGTTCGCTTGGGTAAGTTACCTCTTTGGAGCATTGCCCCCATATCTGTGTGCAGCTTTAGTCCTGTTTGGGGATTCAGCATCCAAGTGCTTATGATGGCACGGGTGGGGCACTGGGAGGGTGCCCCCACTCCTTTCCTGTGTTGGCGGGGAGAGCCCCGTGGGTCGGCTTCTTGCGCCATCTAGATCCTTGATCCACACACTGCGTGCAGAGCGCAGGCCCCTCCTTCAGAGCGCCCCACACACAGATGGGGGGGTGACAGGGCCAGAAAAGGCGACGGCAGAGGGCGAGAGGTCTGTTTCATACCTTGACAACCGCGTTGATCCTTTGAGACTGAGTGAACTTAAAAAAAAAGTTAAGGCTGTCTGGGAAGACTGAGTGCGAGAACGGAATATATATTTGCAGAGGCGATTGCCAAATATAGCAAAAGGAGAACTGGAAGTTGAGACATAGCTGCAGAATGTCGCTTCCCCAGGACCGATATGAAAGAAGTTGCCAGCGTGCCCATGACGTGGAATGCCCAGTGACGCCAACACCTGCGGATTCTGATGGCTGAGCATTTTCAATGGAAGCCGTCAGTTGGGTGTGCAGTGTTTTAGGCGAAGGAAGCACTTGGTTCCACTCCGCAGTGTGCTTCGATTTCTTGTCTCGTGTCACTTGTGGGGCCTGTTCACAACCCCCAGTAAACCAGAAATGCAGAGAGCATTCGCTTCGCGTGAACACATCAGTGAGCCGGTGCGCTGCCTGGCAGTCCTTGCTTGGCTCGTTGGGCCGATGGCAGTGGCTGAATGAGCCGGGGAGGCTCTGCTTGTGGGTTCGGTGCTGCATCCAGACTTGAGCTCTCCGGGGGTGGGGGTGGTTTTCCTGACAAGCCAGAATGATGCATTTGCTTTTGCCTTATATTCTGGCTTGCCAGGGGAGCAACAGCCCAGAGTTTCATTCCTAGGCAAAGTGCAGGTGGCATTTTCCGGGGGGGGGGGGGGGGGGGGGGGGGGGTAAAAGCCCTGCGCATGAGGCGGAGCCAGGTGGGAGAGGCTCATCTGCGGTCCGACAGAGTTCTTAGCAGCTCTGACTTCGGTGTGGGGAGCCTGCCCATGGTGCTTTGGTGCTTCGTTGTAGCCGCTTTGAATCATTTAACATAAAGCAGCATATAAACAAAGGAAGTGTGAAAAGAATAATGTGTGTGCAGCACCTGTCTTCGGTTTGTTGTGTCTACTCAGAAGAGGTGTTCAATACGAGTGCGTGATACTAGGAACCACCAAGTACGGATGGTAAAAGTGCTTTGCATGTGATGCTTCCATAGCGGTGTGTGTGGGGGGAGGGAAGAGGAACAGAACGGGGGTGCAGACCATAATGCGTGGAGGTTACTGTATATCCAGGAGTCCGGAGCTACTGCCCCTTCCAGATTTCTGAGTTGTACAAACGATAGCGTAGACAGCTGTGCTTTTTTCACAGGAATGCCCATTTTCCCCTGCATCTGTGTAGTTAAAATGTTCCATATGAAGCAGCTCTGACGTGCACCTTTTAGAGGCTGGGAATACTAGGAACAGTTGTCTCAACACCCTGGCGATCAGGTGCCTGCCTCTGCCTTCCCACTGTGCATAGCAATGCAGACTTGACAAGGTCTAGCAAGAGCAGAGGAGGAGAGCTTCCCTGTTTGCCTATCCCTTTTCCCCTTGTAGTGGGCAGTCTTTTGTTTGCCAGGGGCCAGGCCTGAGATGGGAATTACATGGTGAAGGAGGGCGCAGCGACATTTCATTGCTTTCTAGTTAAACTTAGATCTCTGGGCTGTAACAGTGGCGAAGTGGAAGGGCAGTTGGCCATTAGACCTTTGCTTCCAGGGATTGCTTTGTGTACATCGATTTGGAGCGCAGCTTTTAATTTGTCTTGTGTTTGTCAATGCTTTCTACTTGCCTGCCTTCAGCTGTCTCAGGTTTACTGTCTCAGAGGGTCCAGTTTAGAATGTACTGTGCGGCCCAGTCTTTTCCAGGATTGCCTGAAACAGTGACAGGATCATGATGTTAGAGGCGAAGCAGTCTGTGCTGTCCTGGCACCGGGAGCAATTCTTGGGCGGGCCTGACCCTGCCTGCACTCTGGAACTCCAGCTCTGACAGGAACGGAGGAGGCTGCTCAGACAGCGTTTGCCGCTGGCTGAAGTGCCGTGCAGCCCACTCCTGTCTTCACCAAGTGTCCTTGTCTGTGTGCTCGGCTGCAGAAGAGCACGGCCAGCCAGTTGGAGGCGACTGCCTCTGCAGGAAGACGCTGCTGGAGTTCTGAGTGGTCTTTCACAGAGTTTGGCTTGCTTATCAGGGGCCACTCTTAAACGGGATTTCGTTTCATTTATTACATCTCTGTGCCACCTGATCGCCAAGGATCTCTGGGTGGCTTGCTCAGCTTCGTTGAGTCAGGAGAAGGGCACAATCTTACCATTATTTTTATTTTGTACCCGGCTGCATGACAGCAAATCACTTCAGATACTGAACTCTTTATTTCTGCCATGGAGTTAAGAGAAGGCGGAAGAGTACTGTTAATTCTCAGTCCAATAGTTCATGGTGCCCAGTGCGGTTTGCAGCTTAAAGTTCTGTAGAGAAAGAGATGGCAAGGGAGGGCAGGATAGCAGAGGCGCTAGCGTTGAAAGCCATCACACCCTGTACTCCAGGGTATATATATTTATTAGCCATGTTTGTCTGGATGCTTTGTCCGATTCCTTATGTGGGTCATCTGGATCACATGGTGCTTTCTATGCAGTCTTCAGAACCCAAGGAAGTAGAGAGCCCAAATGCTTCTACAGTTGTCCCACACAGAAAATCACCTGAAATATTTATACAGCTAGATAGAATCACAAACATGCTGCTGAAAGTATGTATGACAGTGACCTAGTATGTAGTGACATAGGTTATTGCTATGTGTAAACCTGGAACTTGGGGTTCCTAGTAAGAGGATCTGTGGTTTGTCGTGAGTTGTGAACTATGGTTTGTTTAAACCATGCATTGTTATGTGCAAATCCAGAATGGCAACAGAGGTTGTGTGCAAAGATGATCAAAAGCTGAGCCTTTTCAAATGTCAGTACTGCAGTGCAGCATAGGCAGTTGGGGAACAGGAAAGAGTGGAGGAGGAAATAACTGAGGGACTGAGAAAACAAGCCATGGCTTGTTTGCTTTGTCTGCCAGACGAGCCCTTGATAGGGCAGCAAACCATGGCTTTAGTAAACTGGGTTAGCATTGCATGTGAACAAGCCAGTGTGGGATGACCTAAAGGGCTAACTGCACACTTGCAGACTCTGATAGAGGCTGGTGAACACATCCGTGGAACATGTTCCTCCCGACCAGAATGCTCAAGGTGATCTTGTGATGGAAAATCACAAGGATGGAGGCCTCCAATACAGTAATATTACCGGTATTACTGTAATAATGGGTGACCTCAACTACCCTCACATCAACTGGATAAACATACATTCTTGTTCTGACTGAGCGGTTCAATTTTCCAGGGTCCGGAATGACTGTGCCCTGGAGTGGCTGGGTGTGGAACCAGCCAGAGGAAAGGCAATCCTGGATTTAGTCCTAGGTGGAGTTGGCCAGGGCATAGCGCAACATGTAAATGTTGTTGAGCCAATAGGTAATATTGGCTCAACACCCTGGTCTCAGATTCAATATACAGTTAGGTGGAAGACTGCCAGAGAGGTCAAGTGTAGTTGTGTTTGACTTCAAAAGAGAAAATGCCTCAAAAATGAGGAAACTGGTAAAGAAGAAGCTGAAGAAGGGATTCAAGAAATTTAAATAGTTTCAAAGCACTAGCAGATTTTTCAAAAGCACTCTTTTAGAGGCCCAGATAGTGTGCAAACCACAGTGAGAACCAGTATTTATTATTACTTAATGTCTGTACAGCCCAGCAGCTGAAGCTCTGTTTGGTAGCCCAGAGTCCAGGAAATCTCCAGCTTGGGTCAAGCTATTGGGGAGAAGAATGCTTCCTTCAAAAACTGGAAGTCTTCGACCAAATGTAAAGAACAGGAGGAGACCACCAGCCTGCATAAGGGAGATGCAAGCAGACCATCAGAGAAACAAGGAAAGAGTTTGAGGAGCACATTATTAACAGCATTAAGGCTAACAATAAAGAATTGTTTAAATATATCAGAAGAAAGCAGCTAAGGAAGCAGTTGGGCCATTGGCCGATAATGGAATTAAAGGAGCACTAGGGGTAGGGAAGATTCCAAAGAAGTGGAATGAATTATTTGGTCAGTCTTCACAGCAGAGAACAAAAAGCAGATACTTGTCCCTGAGCTTATATTTACAGGAAGGAAGTCCAGATAGTAGTAGCAAAAGATGATATTCTCAGCCTTGTTGACAAAGTGAAAGCACCAAGTTGCCCAGTCCACATGGTGTTCATCCTAAAGGTATCAAAAAATTCAGGTGTGAAATCACTGACCCTCTTACCAAAATATTTAACATGCCCCTTAACTCAACCCTTGTACCAGAGTATTGGAGAATGGCCAGTGTGACACCAAATTTAAAGGGGGTGGGCAGAGCAGGATTAAAGGCCTGTTAGCTTAACAGCTGTTCTAGGTAAACTAGGTAAATTGCTTGAAAGCTTGAGAGCTGCTGATACCGAATTCGTGTTCTGCAAGCCACAGGACAGAGGCATTCCCCATCCACGGAAGCATTTGAACCATCCAAACAACAGCCCCATACAGAGCTCTTGCAGTAGCCTAGTCTGCCTGCAAACCAGTTAAATCTCACACGGTAATTCATTAAATACAGCAGTTTCTACCCACACCTTTCTGCACTCAAGGTAGTTCACAATAAAACAGCTACAAATTATAAATGCTCTCCTAGAATAAAACAGTAAAAAACAACAGGCAGAAATCATGAGAGAGGCCAGATCTAATAAAGCTAAGTTGGCCAAGAATGAAATGTGGAGGCTTACCTTGCTGTTGGCATTATTTTGAAATAAGTATGATTAAAGTTGTTTTGACACCTTATAACTGTTTCTTAAAATTACAAGTAAAAAGTGGGAAGCAGAGCATACAGGCAGCTTTAGTTTCCAGATTCAGTAAAGTTGTCTTCATGAGAGACAGAGAGCAACCAAGAATTTTCACCCACCAAAATCTGTTTTTAAATAGCAAACAATGCAGGTATTGTATTTTTATATGTACATTAGACACAATTGCCCCCTTGTTGCTGCCATTCTGAGATTCTCAGCATGGAGCTCTCTGCATAAGTGTGTTATTGTTCAGGAAACCCCAGTTTCAAGGGTTTAACTGGGACTCTGGCTTTCTTCTTGGAACACACACACACACGCGCACTCATGCAGTTTAATAAGCTGTCTGCATTCTCTTGCCATGCTCTGGAAGTATAAGATGTAGGAACCTCTGTTCCTGGGATTGTGCTGTTAGCGTAATATGAATTCACTCCGATAGAAATGGTATTTCTGAGCATTTTTGAAGAGGCACCTTCTTTCCTCAGTGAATTTTATTTTGGGAAATAAACAGTGATGCACTGAATTCGAGATCATACTTTATAAACATGTAGAAAGAGACTTACATAGTGTGTCAGAGCAGCAAATCATGGGTTAATTATCCCAACATTTGCTAGGGTGCACCTCAGTCTAGTATAAAGAACCTCCAGTCAGCTCTTAGTGAAGGTTGGCAGCGTGGCACGCTAACCTAGGCCGATGGCTTAGGAACGGAGTGGTTAACCCCGCAACGAACCATGCCTGGGCGCTGAATAATTCTGCCCCTTAAGCAACCCATCAGTCCAGGTTTGTATGTCGCACTGACATCTTCCAGTGTCTCCAGTCAGAGGTTGTTTACACAGTGCACAACCCTGGGGGCTGGAGCAGTGCTGTAAGATACCTCATTTACGGGTTTAGAATCAGTTTGGCAAGGCTTGATGAATGGAATGTAATTTTTGGTGTTTTCATTTAGGATGGTTAAACTGTTGGGGAAATAAGTCAAGAGTCTGTCAGTGGAAGTGAACACATTTCTTAATCCAGTGCAGAAAGCAAGCCAGAGGTGGCCCAAGAAAGAGGAAGCGGTGCTGCAGGCAGAGTGACAGCACGGTCTCATGACTGCTGAGCCACCTGCCACAGTCCTGTGAGCGAGGCAGCCAGCACTGCTTTGCGGTTTGCCCAGCCAGAAGGGGATTTCAGTTTGAAGGGAGTGATGTGGGTTTCTAGCAATCGTCTTGCATGAACTAGAATAATTCGTTTTCTATTTCTGTGACACATTTTTGCAAGGAAGAGGTTAGGGTGGCTGAAATGTTAACACCATTGCATTTGTTTATGTAAGAGCAAGACTAAAATGTACTCTTCCTGCTCTGCAGAGAGAATAAGTACAGTTAAAAGAAACCAGATTTGCCAGCATACAGGCAGACAGGAGTTACTCGCGGTGCCCGTGCAGGCACATGGGTTCAGGGCCTGCACAGGGCATGCGTGGAGAACCTTCTAGAGCTGCAGCCCCGGGGCTAGTTATCATGCCTCTCCCCTTGAAAGGAGAGGCTTTGTCCCCAGGCCACCGGGACAAGTGCTTTCCTGCTAAGCTCTTTGATTGCAGCATTGCAAAGAACTTTCATAGTGTTAAAAGCAGTTTGTAAAGCATGCGCCCAAGATGCATAAAACAATTAATGTTGAGCTGTCAAAGCAAATTCCAGGAATATAGTTGAGTTTTAGTTGATCCATGTGCATCGCCCATGATGGGAGCCACATCAGGCGCATCATGACCCTCACCCGGAGCCATCAGTGTGATGCCTGCCGCAGCCATAACTTTAGCTGTTGTGCAGGGTGCAACTTTGACAGAGGAGCACTTTTCGCTCCAGTGATAACTGTAGTCTGGGATAGGCAGGCTGCCTTGTGTTGGTGGAATCACAGCTCTCTGCGGCAGGGAGTCGCCCTCCAGTCTAGAACTCCCTCTGAGGCATTTCTTTCTGGGAGGGAGAGATCTGTGATGCCACTCGCTGCTAAAGGGCTCCTGAAGTCTCTGACAAAGAATCATTCCTTTTCTGTGTTTGTGTCAGAGGTTTTCCTTAAAAGGCTCCCAGTTACTGGGCTTCTCCACTTAGCCTCTTATGATCATAGCAGATGCATCTAACAGATTGGGGTTTTAGGACTGCATCCTCCCTTTCTGAGGTCTTCTAAAATAGCATCCTCCCCCCCCCCCACCCCAGCCAGATGTAGAGCCAGAAACCGCTCGGGGATTTGCCATTACCGTTTACTGGGATCCCACCGTGAGTGTGGAGACTCAAAAATGTTTGGGGAAGAGGGGCGTGGCTGGGCACTGGGCCAGCCCCCGATTGTTGTTCTGCTCCTTTCCTGATGGGGAGGCCTGGCCACCCCGCTCTCCTTCTCTCCACCCCATCCTTTCCTGCATAGAGAAAAGACAGGATTACATGCTGATGTGGCCAGAACATAGGCTTTAAGTACATTTTTCCCTGGCTGGAGTGGTGATCCTATAAACAGCTGGGAAGCTTTGCAACAAGCTGGGAAGCTGCCAGAATATTCTAATGGCTTGAGTTCACAGTGCTGTGTGCCACAAGGAGAATCTGCCATTTTGGAGGAAGATACCTCATTTTTGTTAATTGGAAGTTGTGTATGGTTTCTATAAACTCTGAATACATTTTCAGGAGACGGGAAAAGTCAGTACATCTTCAGTATTCTAATAAAGAAAAACAGCTAGGAATTTTGGTGAATGCAGTAATGTTAATTTTGGGTGGTAAATGTGCTTTCTGGCCGCACCCAATGGAATGGTGTTGCTTTGTCAGGTGTTGCTGCCTTGATGAGTTGTGGTAAATTCTGCAGTGCAGCCTCTGGCACAGAAAATGTGCCTAGCCTTGCAGGTTGCAGATGTTAGGCCCTTTAGGTGCTTTGTGAAAAACCCTTATTGTTCTCTTGACTCCAGGATAAAGATAAAGTTTCTCTAACCAAGACTCCAAAATTGGACCGGAGCGATGGCGGCAAAGAGGTGAAGGAGAGAGCGACAAAACGGAAGCTGCCTTTCACTGTTGGAGCAAATGGAGATCAGAAAGACTCGGACACAGGTAAGAGAAGGGAAGCTCCGCATTCTTCAGGCGCGGCCACTGGACTGAGTGGTGTTGGAGGAAGCGCCTGGCTCTGGGGGAAGCGCGCATGCACACCAGCCTCCCTGCAGCATCAGCTGATAATTGCACTAATGAGCGAGGTGAGGCAGGCGTGGCTGGAGAGCCTTCCCAGTGGTGGCACCCTGGCGACGGTATTTTCTCCCCAGGAAGGCTTGCTGGCACAAACATGGCTTGTGCATCTGTGTGAGGAAAAGATCTTTTTGGATTCCCTTTCCTTATATTGCTGATGGTTTTTAACTGCTGGGTTGTTTGTTTTTTTCAAATGTTAAGTGTACATTTTTAATATACAGGGCATGGTGGGAATATTTGTATTAAAGAGCAATGTGGACTTTTTAAGAAGTGTTACATAAGGTCAGTCAGTCAGATAAGAAAGGCTTTTGGCTTTGTGAGTGTCATTTATTGGTTATTAAAAGTGCGATCTATTTCATATTTAGACAGAATGAGGCCCACGGATTGTAGAGCTTTTTCCTGTCCGAACACGCAGAGGCTTGCGCCCCCCGAGCACTGTGCTGAGGGACCTACAAGCATGCAGCATCTTTCTTTCTCCCCAGCAAGCTCTCCGAACTGTAACCTAGATTTCTCCCTCCCTCCCTCCCTCCAGCTTGGATTGTTTTAAGCCTGGGCAGAGACAATGTCTGTTCTAAATGGTATGTCACTGTGTTGGTATTCGGTGCTTGGTGTCCGGTAGCCGTTGCATACTCTCTGAGCCCTCGGCATGCAAGGCATTTTTGGCAACCTCCGTCTGCACCAGTGCGCATCTCTGTGCCATGCCTCGCCGACTAGAGTAACTTCGATAGGAGTGATCTCAGGGCCCTGAAGGAAAGGGGAAGAGAAATTCCACAGTGTGCACTTGGACTTTGACCCCAAGAAGCAACCACTGATTACCTTTTGCCCACCCTGTGCAGGCGCCTGATATGTGCCTGGGACATCAGCATGGGTGTTCCATTCAGTTGAAAAGTCGGCGATCGTTTGTTTTGTGGGCAGTGGCTGGCAGGTGACATGAGGACTGGTTGGATCAGATGCTGCCCTGCGAGGCAGCCTGCAGTCGTGGCTTAGTACAGACGCTTCGCCTTCATTGCCTGAGGCTTTTCCCCCCTGTTTGAGTAGTGGGTACTGTGGGGTCTATGGTGTGCTGGCTCTCACCTGAGGAAGAGGGCAAGCGAATCAGCTTACGGATTTATAATCTTACCTTATGCGCTGCCTGGCACAGTGCGACAGCTGTTGGAAATGTTGGAAGGGAGCTGTCAGTGCCCTGGCTCATGCTGATCTTGAGCTTGGATCTGCCGTGTTCTGCGGAGAATCCCTAAGTGGTTGTGGACTTTCTGCTTTACATATCGCAAATTGGTGCAGAGGTTTCCATAGGCTGTTGGCATAGCTTGTGCCAGAGATGCAAGACATCATGTTCTATTCTAGAGTCTGGGTCACACATTAAAGCTTGTTAGAGAGGCAAAACAGGCTCTCTGCAATGATTTCTTTCCCAGATATCTAGGGCAGGGTCGAGGAACCTCCTTCAGCCCAAAATTCTGGAGAGCGTCCCATTCCAGTGGCAAATAATATCAAAGGCAAATGAGAAGGAGTCAAAAATGCCAGCGTAATGTAGTTCAAAGTTTTTACTGCAGGCGGATGATGCTGTGGGGGAGGCATTGCAGCCGTTCGGAATGGGGGAAGGTCACAAAAGCCAGGAAACTTCCCAGGGGCTGGTGATGGCCTGCAAAGTAGGAGACCTGGAAAACTGCACTGGGCTCTGACTTCCTGTGACTGCGGAGTGCCTGTAGCGTGACGGCGGAGGCAGTGGTGGGCGGACCCTTGGCAAGTGGATGAGGAAGAGCTGCGCTTGCTGGTAATTTTGCATAAGTGCAGCAAATGCCAGCAAATTCTTTCCTCCTCCCTGCTTTTATTTAATACCATCTCACGCACTGTACTTCTCTGCTTTTAGTTTAATGTCTTTGCATTCTGGGGGTCAGTCAGATTAGTATATCTCCTCTTGGTTTGTGTCCTTTTATATCTCTCTCAGGATGCTGAAAAATTAAACCACAGCATTATTTTCCCAAATATAGCATGCAGTCAAGACAACAAAATGCATTATGTCATTTGACCACAATGCAACCCCTCTACTGCCTTTCCCTTTGCTCTTTTTTGATGAGCAGCTTTAGATCAATGATGGGAAATAGCGGAAGACTAGTGTCAGTCACTGGTCTGTTTTACTGCGACACACACGGAGAAGTCACACTCGGCCCCTGCTTTTGCTGAAAACGGCAGCCAAAGTAACTAGTCATGCCTCACAGATGTCAGATCATTCCCACGCAGCATCAGAAATCAATAATTGTGAATTAATTCACAGTTCATTTCCAAGCAAGGCAAATAATCCAAACTCAAAATGCAAGTCTCCCGTCATTAGAGAGGCGAGTTCTCCTCACAGCGTCTTGATGGTTAGGAGAAAAAGATCCCTGCGCACCCTGCCTTCCGAAGCAGCACAGCAGTGGGGGCGTCTGCCGCCGTTCCTTTTGCACTGCTGGCCAATACTGGGGGAGCCTAGGAGTGGCTTCCTCGGAGAGAGGGGTGTGAAGGAAGCTCGCGGCAGGGCGATGGGGTGGCAACAGGCCCTGCAGGGACCAGGCCTCCGGAGCCCGGGACACCCCAGGAACAGGCTGTGGCCGAAAGGTGGCTATTTTTTCTTTCCACTGTCTCCCTGATGTGACAGGCCACACGCGCCGTTTCCTCTGCGCTGCAGTGCTGCGCCACTTGCTTCCGTCTCCACTCGTGTGACGAATTGCGGGGGGTTGCAGAGCATTTTCTTCCATTTTCCAGTCGGCAACTGTGCGGGTTGCTGGAAATGCTCTTGGAATCCCTCCCGTCCCTCAACTCGTGCTTGAAGCATGTAGGATTGCAAGAGGACTCGTGCGCTGAGAAGGAAAGAGCAGTGTGCAGGTACGACTTGCACCCTCAGTGCGCCCTGTTTTGAAAGCAGGTGCTTGGAATCCCCACCACCTGAACACTTCGCATCATGACATGCAGAAGTAGGAAATACATGGTGCACCCTGTGAGGAGCCTGTTCACCACCTTCAGTTTCTTAAAATTCCTGAAATATGTGTTACAAGCTTAGAAATAGGTACTATGTTTTAACAATGCCGTTCAGACTAAACCCTTTTATTGGGTGAGGCGCACAGAACTCCTGCACTGGCTCCCGGTGAAGTGCCATGTGACCCGTTTGGGATATTTATCAGAGTTGCGAGGGAACGCCGCATCGCCTGCCTGAGCCCTTCCTCCCCCTCCGCCGCACCACACCGCACCGCACATCCCATCCCACATTGCTCTCCCCGTGCTGCCCTCCGTATTGGCCTAATTTTTCCCATTTTGTGCGAGCACATTCTGCATATAATTATGCACGCTGCATCCAAGTCAGAATGGAACAAGAAAGTGGAGGCCAGGAACATATTTCAGAAATCCTTCCTCACTAATGCAGCCTCGGGCAGATCGTTGGTGCTGTGTTGAGACAAGGGCTTGGAACTCCCCCAAATCCACGCTAGGCACTCCTTGTTTCTCCAGAGCTAGTGAGGGGGTGTCGCTGCAGCAACAGAAGAGAGCAGCTGCTGTAGCACAGCTCGGCAGCAACCTGAATGGTGGTGAAGCGGCTGCAGCCAGACAGCAAGGGGCGCTTCCGGGACTGTTGCTCCCTCCCTTGTCGGCCGTATCTCCTTGGCCGCTGTTCCCTGGGCTGCTGGTTGAGTCACGGAGCTGCCTGGAAAGTGCCACCGCTGCCTCCTCTTGGAGCTGCAGTTCGCTTGCTGTCTGTCTGTCCATCCGTCTTTTCTTCCTTTCTGTTTTGTGTCATGTGGTGGGCCAGTTTTTTCTGCTCTTGCCTTTTCAAAGATGCTCGAAAAAGTGGCTGCAGTCCTTAAATTAGGCTCTGTGGAACGCTTTCGACATATGCTGGGGACGTGAGCCCCCCGTTTGTGGTAGCTGGGCAGTCTGGCTATGACTGCAGTAAGCACTTTGCTGAGGGCTTGCTTGCTTTTTTATTTGTTATGTTTCTGCTCTGCCTTTTTCCCACTCCTCCCCCCACCACATACACCCGCCAGTGCGAGCAAAAAGTTCGCTCTGTGTGGCAGGTTGTGAGCGAGGGCTTCAAACTCTCCGTCCTGGCAGCAGAGCTGTGGGTGGGTTGGCAGTCATTCCGTTTTATAACAGCAATGAAGCCGTCGCTCGTCTGTAGTGCTCAGTAGCTGGTGCACCATTTAAAACTGAGGTCCAAGGACAGCGTTCTGATCATCGCCTGCTGTTAGTAATTCATGTCATAGTTTTAAGGGAGGAAATGGATAGCAACGGCACCTTCTCAGAGTTTCTCCATACTTCAGTGCTTGTTCAAGCAAAGGGACTTCAAAATAGTAGGAGAAGAGGGAAAGGGCATTGCTTTTCTTGACATTATACCAGGAGATCTTGGGGGATGCTTCAGCTGTTACCGTGTCCCGGCGCTCTCCTGCGGTGGAGATGAACAAAATGCTGTGGGCACTCTTTGGATCAGTCAGGCTTGGCTATCTTTGGAGCGGGGTGGCGTGCGCCAGTTGTTTCCCAGCACGGCTAGAGATTTCACAGTTGGCTACCATAGGAAGAAAGGCAGAGTCCCACGTGCCGTTGGAGCCGTGGGGGGGATTTTCAGGGGGCAATTTCAACCCAGTGTGCGGTAATCTGAAAACGGCTGCTCTTAGATCCATCAGTGGAAGATTCATTATCCACCTGCCTGTTTGCCTGTCGTTCTAGCAGCGTCAGATTCTGCCCTGTCATTAAGCGGCCGTCCTTTCAGCTGCCTGGGTGGGTCCCCCCCTCGTTTTGCCGTAGCCTGCATTTTGCAGTTCTTCTTTAAGAAAGAAAGCATCGCCGTGCTTTGAATGTGAGAAATGGTGCATGGCCCCTGTGTGATCAGCAGTGGCATTCCAGTGGTG